AAAACTGGTAGTATGTTTTGAAAAATACAGTTCTTGTATCGGTAAATACAAGATGATAGGATATATGAAAGATTCTGATGAGATGAGAAGTTAACCGATAAATCATACATGACATGGTCAAAATACTGAGAAATTATGTAGATATTTATGTATTAAATTAATGATCACATAGAATGTTAGTTATAATTCAAGTTGGTCTATATGTGAATGTTACAGAAGTATGATTATTTTAAAGTGATTACCTATATGTCCACGGCTTCATTCGTAAAACTTTAATAGATTCAATCCTAAAGAACCTACACCAAATAACATTCGGTACTCAATAATACATCAATTGACCTGAGATTAGTACGTTGCAGTTACATGATTGATAGACAATCAATCACTAATTGACATATGGTACATTAAAGTACTTTTAATGTAATGAAAGTATATGTAGTCGGTTAGGTAATACGTAAATTGCAACTAAAAGTTCCTCCCAGTGAAAATTCAATATCCTTATGAAATTAACATGATTGAGGAGTTTACATTGTAAAACCAAATGAATATATTAAGTTAATCGGAACGATCTTATAAATTTAACTGATAAAAAGCTACATAACATTTCAAAGGATCCAAACACTGGATAATAATGCCTATACCCTTAAATTTACAGTAATATAAATATTAATTCACTCAGGAGAAACTAAACAATTGTTGTGATAGGTGCCAATTACATTAACAAGTATTAAAGATCCTTATAATGTAAATTTTAAAAAAAGACAATAAGTATACAGAGTTCAACAACACTAGTTTTAACCGGTTCCTATCTACATCATACCCTAGGGAAAAAAACAAAACAGATTACATAATTAATAATAGAAGGATGATAGATAAGGCAGTAGTATTTATATACTTGTCATTATTATAATTTTTAACAAGTAAACAAATATTATGATTAGTGATGAAATGCACTTCATTGTTATTAATTAAAGTCACTGGTGTTTTCATAGGTAGATAAATAAATAGATGATATATGATTAGATTAAAACATGGAAATCTCCAAAATCGACATATTCAGGAAGAATTTGATTAATAACAAAATGTTTCTCAATTAGTAATGGTGACATCGGCCCTTGGACTTTCTTTACATAAACTCATTTTCAACTCATAGATATTGACTATCATGCTAAGTATGTTGTTTCCTTTTTCTATATCCTATAGATTTTTTTCTGTATAATTTCGTACTGAAATTCATTGATTAAAATATGTAAAGCTTAATTAGTAATAATATTATTAATCGTAAATTTAGGCTATTTACAGCTGATGAGAAGTGATAAAATAGGGACAAGAAATTTCTATTAGGATACAAATCTTGTATTTTTTTGTTGTTCTGCTAAAATTTATCAAGGGACTAAGTTATATCGAATTAATTGAACAGTTAATTATCGCCAACTTCATTATCTCAGATAACTTCCCCCACACCAAGAGTAATAATAATTATTATTATTATCATTATTATTAAAAGTATATGTAAAAATATAATCATTTAATTAAATTGGATTTTAAAATATGCTGCAATCGTTGAAAAGAGTTAAGCAATCTCATCAGAAAGACAATAATATAATAATAATAACAATAATAATAATATACAATAGATATCAATACCAAGGTTGGACTTGATAGTTTCAAATAAATTGAGCATTCGATAGAGTTAATAGTAAATATATTTTTTGTTATATCCAAATGATTAGTAAAATTGTATTTCTTATGTTTCGTGATTCAATGTAAGCCACTTCTTCAGAGCAAATATACAACCAAATGAAATTCACTCTGAAGAAGTGACTTACATCGAGTCACGAAACATCAGAAATACAATTTTATTAGTCATTAGGAAAGAATAAAAAAGTATTTTTATAATTAATAATCTAAAATGTTCGTAAAGCTGTAACTATCCTATTCGTATATAACACATGAACATGTTGGTACGATAAGGTTTTTTTATTACCGTATAAAAAGACTAGGCTTTCAAACATTTTAAAACAGTTAATATACGGAAGACTTCGGAACAAATTAATATGGGAAGAAGAGAGAATTTCTCTGTTTTAGTTAATTCTAAATTTACCTTGAAGTGATAAAAATACAGTAGGAGTAAATAAATCTTTGAAAGTGATAAAGTTAAATCAGAAAATTTCCAACTACAGTGAATAACAATGAAACATGATTATAACTTCAGATAGACTTAAATATTACATGCATCAGAATAAATTGTATATTGTTACCATAGAATTTTTTTCCTTTTTCATAATTTAAGATGACCAATGACAGAGACCAATTAATCTGAGACTACTTTTGAATTCAATATTCTATGTAAAATCAATTTCATCTAATACAACACACTATTCCTGATCGGTAACCTCGAAATTCAATACCATTTTCTGTTACTTGATTTTCTGAGTTTATCACAGCTTTCTCAATTTGAGTAAAGGGTAAAGGTGATGTGGATACTCCATTCTAAGAAAATATTTTAGAAGTGAAAACTGATAACTACAAAATACCTACTTATCTTTTAGAGAATCATCCCATTCAAACAGATGTATTTATCAGTCATGAACAGAACTCCGGGATAGTCCTACTCTCATAAACAGTGTAGTGAAAATTATGTATAAATAGCTTCACTCAATAGATTACTTACATATGTAGCAAATAAAATTATTATAGTAGGAAGTTGTCGAGAGAGAACGAGAAACGAAAGTTGTTCAGTTTCAAAAGAATTTCAGGTCAAAACAATTTTCAGACTAGACAACCGAGTGATGATACATTAATGAATATCTTTAATTAACGCAACTAACAAGAAAGTGGAAAGTTGTTTATTGTCCATATATATATTCATTGTACTTAGTATATTTTGTGATTGATGAAGTTACATAATGGGCAAGTGATCTATAACATTTTCTATCTAGTCATTCTATAAGAGATGATTACTTACATAGTTGCAAAATAACTGGTATATATATCCCAAGATTAGGGGGGAAATAACACCACTGCAGGAATCGTAAAACAATATTACAATAATAATTACATTTCACCCTTTCGTATTTTCCTTCTGTACATCAACCCAGTCACAAATCGTATTTGTGTGTCGGCATGTAAATAGATATATTCTCACTGATAATAACAATTACTTACTATCTTATCTGCTGGTAGTAATTACAGGTAACAATTATGTTAAAGTAACGAATACTTCATTGATAAAATTCAAATAAACTCTATGCACTAGTATACAATCAAAACATATATTATGATAATGACAAACCAACCATATTTCTTAAGCAACAAATTTGATGATCGAGTGAAAAGTCAGACATTTCCACAGAACATGAAAGTAATTACATTATTATCTATTTATATGTCAGCGGAACGAAGTCAGAAGGTAGGTAAGGGTTATAAAATCACTTACGCATATAAGAGAGTGTGTGTGTCTGTGTTAAAAAAAAAGGCTGCATGGCCAATAACGGAAATCAACCAGGATATTATTATTGAAAATATCACGTAATGTAACAAATTAGACAATCTGTCCATATATTCATGGTTAGTTCGTCAGACATACTAATACCAGTGGTAATAGTAGTGGGAGACTGTAATTGTAAAAATTAATAAACATACCGATAAATCTTTCTACTATTTAAGACTATAACATAATAAAGAGGAAGAATGCATTTGTAAAATCTCAGCGAAAGTGTAAGGAAGGCGGAATAATTGTTACGAAAAATAAAATGCAATGTAAATTATTTTCTTTAATGAATAGTCCAGTTCAACAGATTTATTAATTCTATTTTCCAATAGCCCATACACTTATTGATTGAACGGTGTGGATTGGACTCTGGGAAAAGAAGAGTTTCCGATCCATTTTATCAAAATAGATGTCCATATTTCACAACACAATTTCAAATACAACTTGTAACCCAAATTAACCTAGCATTCTTAGGATCAACACATAAATTGTTAGTCAGTATTATATTACACAACATACATTCCTTGCAGACCTTGACATATTAACGCCGGAGGTCTTTAAGGATGAATAGTGATTCAGGTTTGGAAGTCAGACACATTAAGACATCAGCTAGAATTTGAGAACTGAATATAACGCCGTCTGACTAGTCTAGATTGCTGATCCTTTACATTTATAAAAAGCACACAAATCCTTTCAAGGAAACCATAGAAGAAACAGTGACCATTAGTGTCTAAAATATTAGCTTCAATTATCATCCGACTTTTAACTAAAACTCGTGAAGAGTAAACCTTACGCTAGTTTTAAGCCTAAATGTAAACATGTAGACCAAATATTCGACTTCATCAGATCCTGGAATGTAGACACACTTCCAAAGGTCCGAAACAAGTGATTTTCTCTGACATTAGCGGTATTTGACTTTTCTGAGGTTCTGTGGCAGTGTCTATAATTAAAAGGCGTATTAAAGAAATACATGAATTATGTTCAGGTTTTTTTTGTCGAACATTACTGGTAGAGTTAGAACTTATGGGAAACTCATTCCTAGTAGTGCACCTACAGAATCCATTAAACCAGTCAAATATAAATCGGGTTAGCAATTTCACAAGCAAAATGGCTTTCATCATAAACCTCCAGTTATGTTAATAGTTACGCAGTATTGATAAGTACAGTATCTACAGGAACATAAAACGGTCAACAAATTCTATTTTTAAAACATTTTCAGCTCAACTAAGTGCCAAAAGCACCTAGAGAAATCTCTTCATACGTATGGTCCATCCATATACCTCAATGTTGTATAATATTATAAATCAAACCAAATAATTATAAGTTCAGTGCCAGAGGATACAATCGAGATAAGGAAGAAGAGAAAAGACATGTTTGTGTCTGAAATAAAAGAAACACACACATACTGTCATCAACAAATTACTCGCAGTCTTGTAAAAAAACAGCTGGATGATCGACCATACCAATAATAACCACTGGACAAACATTCAGAACGTTAAAACATAATGTGGACGGTCATACAAATATAAGAATTAGTTTATTAAGAATTCAAATATCGATTGGCTTGTTAACCTGATGGGATTTTATTACTTATGTGGATGGTATAATTTTCATTATATGTGTCTAAATTAAACTAATATAAAAAGTATACAGGTAATGAAGAAAAAACCGGTGAAAGGAATAAATAAAAGCATACAAAATAGTGTGCAAGCACATGGTATTTATGTGTGAGTGCGTGTTTGTATCAGTAAATGATTATGCATTCACTATACGTATTAGGCAAAAATCAAATACAAACAATCCTAGCCTGCACACAAACAATATACTTTGGAAGTATCAAAACAAAAGTAATTAATAATAATAATAATAATATATAAGAGGAAAAGGATGGAAATAAGCACATAGAGGAAAAAGCAAAACCAAAAAAGGAGAAGAGTAAATAGGTATGAATAAGCGAAATATCCCGCAAGCGCTAACAGTCATGTCTGAAATGAAATACAGGAGAGAGAAAAAAAAGAAAAACACACGGCAGTGATTATGTAGAACCAGCAGGTTTTGCTTTTCACAAGTATAATATGAAGCCAAGACGAGAAAAACAGGTGTAAAACAGGTGGTTGGTCGTATGATACAACTAGGAAAAAAGGCAGTGTTACAAAATGGTTGATTGATGCAACAAACTATGAATATGAAAACTATCTGACTGATATTGATGTTTAAATGTTAGTAAGTAGGCAATAAAGAAAGCCATAGGCTTATAGCATAGCATAGCATCAAACAAGCAGATATGTTAGTTTCAACATAAAAAAGGCATAACTGATGAAATACAGAGTGATTAGACATCTCTTTATGTTATTTTGTTAATTTAATCTCTGATATTTTTTGTTTTAACCAAATTTCCTCAGTTTATGTGGGTGTATATTCGTTGGTCGGTAAATGAGTATCTCTCATCCAGAAATAAGAAAAACACAAATGAACAACAAGTAACACAGATTTCCGTTGTGTTTATAGTAAAAAAGGTGTTGAAATAACAAGACGGAAAAATTATGCAACCACTTTACGTGATGAAACTTCCCATCGACTTCCTGTTGGCTATCTTGTTTTTTTCGCTTAGACATTATTGCACACATTCAAGGAGGTATATAATATATATATATATATATATATATATATATATATATATATATATATATATAAAGGGAATAAAGAATATGATAGACAAACGGAGAAATGGAATTGTAACGTTATATGCAATAAAAGTACTTTCATTAAACTGTTGAATTATTATGAGGTGAAGAACAGTTTCAAGAACTCCACCTGTAGCTCTTCTAAGGTTACTGCCATTCGCACGACCGGGTAAAGGGGGAGGGTTGGGTGTGTAGTTAGGAACCCCATCTCGTAGAACAGAACCTTGCTAAAAAACGCTAACCAGAACTAAAAAACTCAAACTTTGTCCTCTGAGATAAAGGATCTCCATTCATAAGAATCATGATGCCTCATAGTGAAAACCAAGATTCTTCGGAAGTCATGAGGACAATGCCTTTTCTAACAACTCGAGCAGCAATCAATATAGGTAAATGGAATTTTCGAACAATGTGGGAGACCGGGAGGACCAATCAAATAGCAATGCAAATGAGGAGATACATTTTGTCGGTTCTCGTGTTCAGCGAAACGCATTGGACCCAAGCTAGACAGCAAAGGATATATTCACGAGGGATGCTGCTGTACTTTGGTTATGAAGAAGAAAATGCTTCACATCCTCAGAGAGTTGCTCTGATGCTTATAAGATGGGAATCTGATGAACCCAGGGTCATTAAAGCATCTTTCAAAACGAAGGAGGGAATAATAATGATTGTTATACGATGTTACGAACCCACCAATCGTAGCAATGACAACGATAAAAATCATTTTTATGAGAGGTTGCAATCGATCATAGTGAAGTGCTCAGGAAACGACCTGACAATCCTGATGGGAGCCCTAAACGCCAAAGTTGGAATGGACACCAATGGTTATGAAGGTATCATGAGAGGACATGGACTGAATAGGAGAATAGTGACATATTCGCAAATGCATGTGCATCCAGCTAAATGGTTACAGACGGCACAATATTCACACACAAGCGCATACACAAAGTTACATGAGTCTCACCGGTTCACATCACGGAGAACCAGGAGAGGAAATGACATAGCTTCAGATCACCACCTGGTGGATGCTAAGATGAAACTGACGCTAAAAAAATGATGAAAAACCGAAGAAACAGCACTACGAAGTTTCAACACAGCCTTCCTTCGAGATACTAACAAACTCAACGAAGTCAAGATAGAGCTCAACAACGGATTCCATGCCTTACAAGATCTACTGGAAGAATAAGAATTTACTATTGAGGACAATTAGGAAGGGATCAAAGAAGCACTGACTTCAAACGTGTCAGAAAATGCTGGGACGCAACAAGTGCCATCATAAGGAATAGATCTCTACGGAAATCGTGGACAAGGTTCAAAAAAGAAGGAACGAGAAGGCAGCAATCAAAACCAGCCGAATAAGAGCAGAGAATTCAAGGCAAAAACTGAATACACAGAAGCAAACAACTTAGTGAAGAGGAGCACTAGGGTTGACAAACAGAAATATGTGAAAGAAATAGCAGTAACAGTGGAAAAAGCTGCAAGAGAAGAAAAAGTGAAACAACTGCATGACACAACGAATAAACTAGTAGGGAAATATAGTAAACCAGAGAGACTAGTCAATGACAAAGAAAACAAGACAACTGCTAAGATTCGAGAAGCGAGGAATAGATGGGTAGAACACTTTGAGGAGCACTTGGATAGGCCAGCACCATTGAATCCACTGGATATCGAAGCAGAATCAAGATACCTTCTTATAGATGTCACTCCACCAACGATCGAAGAAATCAGGATGGCCATCAGAATACTCAAGAGTGCGAAGACGACAGGACCTGACAGCATACCAGGTAAAGCACTGAGATCAGACACAGAAGGAACAACAAACATGCTCCACAATCTACTCAGGAAGATTTGCGGGGAGGAACAAGTGACGACAGACTAGAATGTAGGTTACCCCATCAAGATAACAAAAATGTTCTGAACAGGTGTGCGGACCATAAAAGCACCACACTACCATTGGTACAAGGAAAGGTTTACAACATAGTGTTGCTGAACCGGAAAGATTCAGTGGACGTCCAGTTTCGAGATGAACAGGCCAGATTTCGTAAGAATCGGTCTCGAACTGATTAAATCGCAATACTACGGGTCACCATCGAACAATAAATTGAATGGAACTCGTCACTACACATCAACGTTTATGACTATGAGAAAGCGTTGAACATTGTGGATAGAAGGACCTTATGGAACCGTCCTCGACACTATGGAGTATCTGAGAAAATCATCAGCATCATCCGGAATTCATATGACGGACTACACTGAAAAGTCGAGGATGGAGGACAGCTGACAGACGCATTCCAAGTGAGGACCGGAATTAGACAAGGCTACTTACTCTGCTTTTTTCTCTTTCATCTGGTGGTTGACTGGATTATAAATATTTATACATATGGGGGAAGTATTTCTCAGATGGCACAGCTCTTCTATCTTAAAAGCAACAACAAATGCAGTAGTCTCTGCATCAGTATGTCTCAACATACACAAAAGAAAAAGCAAGACAATCATATATAACACAGTGAACATTAACTTAAGTACACTTAGTGAAGAAACTCTGGAAGAGGTAGAAACTTTCATGTAACTGGCTTGGATCATCAATAAACAATGGGGATCTGATGTAAATGTGAAGGCAAGGATTGGCAAAGCAAGGACAACATTCCTACAATCGAAGAACATATGGAACTCAAAACAACTGTCTGCAAGCCAACATCAAAGTCAGAATCTTCAATACGAACATCAAGGCAGTTAGTTCTATTGTACGGAGCTGAAACTTGGAGACTTACCACAACCATCATTCAGAAAGTACAAGTGTTTATAAACAACTGTCTACGCAAAAGCCTACTGTGTGAGAGAACAAATCAGCTTCTAACTGAAGAGGAAATTAGGAAAAGATATTGGAAGTGGATAGAACACACACTGAGGAAATCATCAAACTGCATCACGAGGCAAGCGCTTACCTGGAATCCTGGAGAGAAATAGAAAAGAGGAAGACCAAAAACACATTGAGTCGGGAATTGGAAGCAGACACGAAAAGGATGAATAGCAACTGGAAAGGATTACCCAGGACAAAGTTAGATGCAGAGCGCTGGTGGTCGGCCTATGCTCCTCCTCGAGAGGTAACAGGCGTAAGTAAGTACAGATTCAAAGCACACTTCATTGACATACATGCACAGAAGTATATAAGTCAAGAATTTTCAAATTCTCCACATACAACAATTGATAGGAGAAAGATGAAACATGTACTGATAGTAGAAATTTAGAAAAAGAGAAAATAAGTTAGTAATCCTACCGACGTAAACTATCTAAATACGCATATTTTAGCTATCGAAAGAACTTTGCAGCAATAAAGAAACAGTAGATTATTATGTTTTTAAATGAAGTCAAATGAGAGTGAATGACTTCAAAGAAATCATTAATGAGAAGATTGATTTGCGTATTTGATGAAGTCTTGGTGTGATGATAAATAAAGCATACTATTTAAAAGCTACCAAATCATCTAGTGATTGAAGTAGAGTACAAAAGGCTTAAGAATAGATAGAATAGATATTATAAATAAAAGTAACACATAAATCTAAAACTGAATTACATAAAGAAATTTCAGTTAATTAATTGGACAGTTAAAGTGTATAATTAATGTTTGGTTTCTCCTTATACATATTTGATTTATAAAATGTAAACATAAACAACTTTAAGACAACACAAAGCACAGTAACAATTTAAATAATCATGGAATATAGAAAAAAGAGCGAATATTGACAAAAGACAAATTACCTGTATTAAACTCAAGTCCAAATGGACAATCCTCTAGTGTTAATGGATCTTTTTCTTTGAAATCATGAAATAAATCATTGGATGACATAAGGATTTGTTTCATAGATTTAGCACTTACGATACGATAAATTAAACTAGCATCATTATTTATGCCTACTGCTTCAACAGAAGTGACAGTTTCACCGATAGGTACAGATTCAAGGACAGTAGCAGAATAAAGTATAGCTGAGAATTGTGGACCATTTTCGGCAACCAAATGAATATTAACAATAGCTGTTGACGAAAGACCCCCTCCATCGATTGCTGCAACAACAGCTTCAATTTGTCTACCAGTCCAATCAGATGGAAGACTTCGAAGTAAATATATATGTCCAGATGTAGAGTTGATGGATAATAATGGTGGTTCAGCTCTAGGACGAATATTGGTAAGACTATACACCACAGTTCCATTTATACCTTTATCTTTATCAATAGCCGTAACCTGAAAATAAGATATAATAGTTTTTGATTATAATACTGAAAGATACAGTCAAACAAGAATAAAATGCATTAAATTAATATGATTAAATGAAAAATGATCATCTTTCCAAGTTATTATTGGTAGTCAAAGATTTCATCTTATTTTTAGGATTATTATATAGAATCCACAATTCTTCCCAGTAAAATTAGTGAACAAGTTTCATAAAAGTGGTTCTCTTCATGAAGTGGAAAAAAGGAAGAACAACAACAAAAGTAGAATAATACGAATACTTTTTACATGGGTTCTCATTAGTCACTCACAACAGTACTAAATAGTAAACAATGGTGACAAATTATATATATATGCAAGCGTGTGAAATGTAAACTGAAGATAGATAGGGAATGGTGGACTAGTTGTCTCGAGTTTCAAAAATAATGACAAACTTCAATTTTACGTAAGTCTAAGAATTAAGTGAATGAAATCCACGGATCAATGAAAAGATTATTAAAAAGTGGATGAAAGCACACTTATGTAAGCGAAGATTGAATAACAAATTACAAGCAACACCAATAATATCAGTAAACGATTTTGCAAAGTTTGTAAGATTTTCAGAGTTTAAATCATGAACAGATCTTAGACAGACCACCAGAAATACTGGATGATTGTTCGTACTAATATGTAACTTTTCAGTAATGGGCACCCAAAAACGTGTCACAGGGAATCGGACCTAAGACCTTTGGCATTACAAGAGAATACGTAGCTAACATTACATTATTATCTTTCTAGTTGACCAGCGATATCTACTCAAGCAAACGATAAGTTACATGAATCCTTTTCCTCGATGTACACCTAAAAAATAGCTGCTTTTGCAGAGATAACTATAATGGGTGTACTAACAGGATGAGTGGACATCTTTCTAAGTGGTTTGGAAAGGGCCAGACAAAGATAACACGTTAGCACATCTTATCATAGTTACTTGTTAGCGGTCATATGATAGATAAAACTAAATCATTTCGAGTAATCTGCTGTTTACCTACGTCATTTTACACTAGAGTTCGATTCCGTCTCCCCAATATACTACAAGTTAGAGGAATCCTAACCTATATGCCCAGCCTGATGGAATTCTGACAGAAAACAAATTTGTTCGCCTGCATACGTTTTTCCAACGTGGATATGAGTTTATCTGAGTGAATGTGAAAAATTTGAAACTCCCATTTTCTACTCACTGGGATATTATAATATAACATATTATTTTATAGTAATTATAAATGTTATTTCATCTATTTTTATTAAAATTACTTGAGAAAAATGATTAACAATAATGTTCATGAATTAATCATATAAAGAAAAACATTCGATGGATTAAATAAGTAAAAATTGGAGACATGAATTTTCAAAATGATTAATTAACTGAAGAGAGAGCGTTTACAAATCTGTAAAATTTTCTAACTCCTGTACTTTTCTGCGGCGTTTTGACTCACCAGTAATAAATGATGAAGTTGAAAACTAAACGTATGAAAAAAGCATGATAAAAGACAGTACTGAATTTTTGAATTTGAGAAAAGAATTGGAAAGCAATAAAGGGAAAACAAAACCATTGCTTATGTGGAAAGCTTTTTGAAATAAACAAAATGCGCCGCTTTGTAGATATTGCAAATAGAGAAAACGTTTACATGTTTGCAGAATACGCTTATCTAGTTTGTATAAGCCAAAATTGCTAAGATAGGAAAAAAATCTACTTAAAAAAGAAAACAAATACATTCATAAAGTATACGCATTGTTCATTTTTCACTATCTAACTAAGAAGTTGGCAAGTTTGGGATTTCAATAGACTCTAGTATTTGGGTTGAGTGTTAAATCACCTATTTTAGTCATGAAATCAAAACAGTGAGCGGATAACTAATTATCAGAAGAGATTTCGTGGAGATTTTCAGTAATTTCAATAGTTGAAATCATGGGTGGATTGAATCTAGACCAATATGGAAAACCTGGGGGCACTGGAAGGTCGTTTCGTCCTAGTATGAGTGCCGAATCAGTGGTCTAGTGGCTAGGTGCTCGCGCGCGAGACTGATAGGTCCTGGGTTCAAATCTCGCGGGGGGCGGGATCGTAAATGCGTACTACCGAGGAGTCCCATACTAGAACGAAACAGCCGTCTAGTGATTCCAGGTTTTCCATGGTGGTCTAGCTTCAATTGACTCATGATTTCAACTATTGAGATAATTAATTGTTAAGTGTGCGAAGAAATTTCTCAAAACAAATTCCTTCATTTCATACTAGGAGATGGTCATAAAGTATCTGAATTGTCATTAACTCTAACATATACGAAATTGCTGAAACCCTAGCAAAGTTTATATCTACACAACCATTCCAATCAATAGTATCCATGTACTGGTCACTTGTGACTAGTTTCAATTTGAATTTCTAAATCTCTAGTGGAAATAAGCAAACCGAATTTGGAGTGAAAAACAAATTTACTGTTGAAATTGGTTTAAAAAACACACCCCGGTCGATCGAATTTGAAAATGGTAAACATTAGACTTTGGTATCCTTAATCTAAAAACATTATTACGAAATCTCAAAAATATGAGTTCAATCCCGTGTCGGGCCGTCAGTGTACACTGCATACTGAGCAGTAGTAGAAAAGTTATTCAATATCTAATAATTTTCTTCAGTTAAACTTATTTCGTAATGAAAATAATTTTTTAAATACAGTTGGTAGATTTGGAGATGTGTGAACAATGAACATTTACTTAAATCCTATTGAATTCAATCATTAATAAATTTTACCATTCAAGTTGCAGTTAATATGAAGTATAGACTTTATGTAAAAATACGATATTTATTTACCAAAATATAGAATTAAATCCTGCACACAATCTATTTATCTAATATAATAATTTAATTAATCAGTCAACTTCTACCAGTTGAGTCAATAACTTAACTAACTTACAAAAAAAGACCTTAACAGAAGTATATATATATATATATATATATATATATATATATATATATATATATATATACTTATGTACTAACGAATAAAATAGAGAAAAAAATAGAAGAGTGAGACTAAAGCAAATTCATCATAGAGAGAGAGAGAGAGACAGAAAGAAATATCCATTAATTTGAAGCTCCCACGCTTAGGCAAAAAGCTGTTCATTCAACCATGAGAAAACACTAATTTAAAAACAACATTGATAAAGATTATTGCATGAAAAGAAAAAACAATAGTGATATCTTTATCATATATATAACATCTCACTTACTTTAAAATTATTCAAACTTTTACAAGTAGGATCAGCTTCTATACTTCGATCGGTTGATTGTTCATTCAATGCATTGAAACTAGTGCTTGAACCAACACAAAACGTGACATAATATGGTAAACCAATAAATTCCGGTTGGTAATCATTAATATCTAATAAATGTATATGTATTACAGCAGTTCCAATACGATTTTCAGCATCACGTACAAGAATATTCATAGTGAAATTCGCAGTTGATTCACGATCTAATTCGGTGGAATTTTGTTTCCCGGTAGCAAAAACGCCACCAGTCAGTGGATGGACAAAAATGCCCGGATGAGGATCGAGCGTGATAAACCTTTGGAAGAAACCGAAAATAACAATACGACTGTAAAAGAATAATAATTGTAAATTCTATCAAATATTAAAGTTTCATGATTGAAAGGAAATTGATGAATCAATTATTTCAAAGTGATTTTCATCCTATACTGATGTTAGTAGAAGAGTCTATAAAAACCAATGACTAACTAATAACTAATTCATCTTAGATTGTGATTACATATTTGCACTTAATCACGACCCACACAAGATTGAACTCAAAACGTTGGGATTTCCCTGTGAGAAGAACACTTTGAGATCACTGGATCCAATTGTAGACATTTTCCAATCGGATCAACTTTTCCTCAGAGCGACATCACGTGCTGGTAAAAAAAAACTAACTTGGGATGGAACACATTTTTACGCAAATAGCCTTGACATATTGAGGCCAAATATTTCTCAAAAAGAAAACGAAAAATGACAATGAATTAATTATGTGAAACGAGATCTTTAAAAAGAAAACAAATAACTGTAAAACAATCGTAATAAAGAATCCCGAAAAGAGAATTCGCCATAATTGATTACCAAACATACATAACAGTGAATAAAAGATTAATATATAGATTTAATTCTGAAAAATGTTTATAACTACGATTTGTTAAGACACACAAAATAAACATGAATTTACAAAATGATACAACGAATGAAATGGAAATAATTTGGAACCGGAAACAAAATATATGATTATCACGTATCAATAATAGTAATAGTAATCATAATAACAATAATATTCTACCTATTTAAAGTAATACAGCCTAAACACTAGTTTGTGTGTGAATAAGACGAAACTAAATAAGCAAGAATAAACAACCTCAGAATTTTTTTTAATAAACGATCTATGAATTATTTATGTGGAGTAGACAATATGAACAATTCTAAAATGGAACTTACACGTTGTGATCATAGTAGTAACATTCTTATTATCAAATAAAGATGGATAAAAATTGGTAATTAGAACCTGGGACATTACATGATTGTCTCAGATGATTTGGATTCTTGATGTGATCATGTGTTGACTGTTAAAAAATAACGAAAAACTGCAACCTTTTTATTGATATTATCAGTTAATATAGTGATGCCAAGAACAATCGAATCACACATTGTTGGATTGGATTAGAGCATGTGTCGTGCAGGATTATGTTGCGGCACACTGACTGACCATTTCTTAGCCAATCAATGCTGACGGATAGTTGGGAAAGACTCTAGGGGCTTCTAGTGTAAAAATTACAAGTATACTAACGTTTTCTAATTGAGATTCCTAATTCGACTAACCTTTATTTATGATACAATAACGTTCCTGTTTAACCGTGTTCTGATTTGGGGACTTGTTGAGCAATAAAAGTAGCTGGGTCGGGATAAGAGAGATTATAACCCCCATTTACTATGTAGTTTTTATACACTTGTTTGACCCATGACCCACAGTGTATAAAAATAAGTGAACGTATCTCTCTCCATCGTTTTCGATTTAAGTAAACACAACCATTTATAAGAATTACAGATTTAAAGGTATATAACACGCAAAATGGTTCCATCAGAACAAATTTTGTACTTATTAAAGTGACTGATGTATCACTAATAATGATCCTGAAATATTAGATCAATAATTAATTTAGGAAATATTTTGATCTAAAAATAATCACTATTACAGAATTAAATAAACTGAAGACTTAGTGAAAGCAGGTGAGATAGTCATTTTAAAAGACATTACGATATTTTGTGCTCTAGCTAGAACTATTTCAGTTTAGTTCAAACCATTGATCAGAAGGGTATATAGTTTAAGGTTTATCTTACCGAATTATTTTTAAACAGATCGTATGACGAATGGTGCATTTAGAGAAGATATGCAACCGAATTCCAATACACTAATTCGACAAAGTTGGAATGAGACTTGAAAAGCGTGGTTTTGATATCGTACAATGATGAGCACTTACTGCAGACTAACAGTCGTTGTGTTTCTCTATATCATAGGTAGCTTTTATTTATTGAACAGGATTATCATATAACATTATATATTGAAGAAGAGTGTAGCTGAGTTCGTCAATATATTGCAAGCTCTGTATACAAACACCTCAGGTAGAGTGAGAGCATACCATCATCTCCACATACATAGTTCCATTCCAGTCGCTTGGCCATTCAGCACATGTTTTGTACCTTTTAGTTGCAGAGTACCCCGGTATGACTAAAAAGAGACTATGCTTGCATTAACTCTTGGTAAAAATCCGTTAGACTTAGTCGAACAGTTTGTGTGCCTGGGTAGTTTTGTGGGTATTGGTGATGGGGTGACAGATGAAATCAATCTACAGATAGTGAAAGCCAGAGCGGCTTATGTCAATTCGGTCAATCACTGAAATAGTCGTAACGATAGCCTGACTGTAAAACTTCAGGTTTATAACACGTGGGTGAGAGCAGTTCTAGTTTATGCATGTGAAACCTGGATTGTTTTGGATGGGAAGGTTCGACCATTGACGTCTCCGAAGGACTGATGACATTCGGTGGCAACACCATGTTAGTAGTGTTAAGGTTCGCAAATGTTTTTGATGGAAGTGAGGTAATGTAGTTGACGTCACCACCTTCAGTGGCTTGGACATATTTTAGGATTACCGTTTCAGCGGCTTCCACAACTCAGTGTTGATGCTGAAATTGGGGTTCAGGTAAATCCAGCTGCTGAGTCACAAATAAGTCAAATATGAGTTCTGGCTTTCACCTGTTCTAAACAATAAATGATGTTTCGATTATATACCAAATATCATTTGAGTATTGATAATAATAACTGAGAGTACTTAATATTTACTGAGAAATAACATAGTGAAACCGTAAACAATAAAAAATAGTAACAACAATTCTGTAAGAAAACATAGGGAGTAAAGTATTGACAGGCTAATCTATTCAGTGGAAAAACTAATTCAACTCTGCTACCTTGGTAACACACATCGATGAAATAAAGTTATTCTAAGGAAAAGACAAACGATACAGTTTTATGGCTAGACAGAGTAGGCAAAGTAAAAAAGTATTCTTTTTATTACAATATAAAATAATAACAATTTTATTTTTATAAAAGTCAATAGAAAGAAACGATTAAATCTCATAAATAGTACCTCAGATATATAATTAATTAGTTGATGTCGTAGTCCACACTAAATACTATACATGAATATTAAATAGAAAAGTGAGTTAATGAATGACACTAATGATTTGTCTGGAATTGTTAAATACTCCCGACCGTTGTTGCTACCTTGACGTGGTGATCGGGCTTGCCTATCGTGATGAATCAATCGAGCTATATTGGCTGGAACAATCGTTACTCAAGTTCCTGCCATGCCAGACAGGTCGGTTGAAGAACGTTAAGATTAAAAGCAGCAAATCCAAGGACCGAGGGAGAAGTCGTAATGCTGACTTTACAGAGGTGTGACAGAAGTAAGGTGTTTCCTTCAGACAACCAGCATAACAGCGATGCTGCCTTCCCACAAGGAGGGGTGGGGTCAGAATAGGTCGACCCTCAAAGTGCACAACTCGCCTTATCCCTAGGATATCCGCCTCCGGCGGTAAGGTCTCAACAAGTACGGAGCTAACATGAAAATTACTCACAGAAAGGTCATGTGTGACCGCTCTAAAGTAAGTGTCTCTTAGGCACTGTGGCCACGCTGTCAGGTTACTAAGACCACCTCTTATCCAATTTCCTCTTTCGTATCGATAGAAGAACCCTTCCATGGTGTGGGCAACCGAGAAGCAAAAACCGCCATTATTCCTCTAACAGCACCCAAGACCACTATATTCATAATCAACCTCCGTCTTCACTTCCTATTATTGCTCCTACATCGACTTTCACCTCTAAATTTCCTTTCTCGGCTTCCCCCTCAAGTGTCACCACAGCCAACGATTCTAGTGCTCAAAACACTGTCCCAGGTCTACTGAAACCTCGCTCCAAACTACACATTGGAGCTTTCAACGTACGCACCCCATGTCAAATCGGTCAACAGGCTTCCTTGGCTAGAACCCTAGAATCTCGTATCATTGATGTATACTGTGTCTCTGAAACACACATACAGGATCCCAGTGTGGTCATTCACTAGACCTCACCTCGGCAAAACGGAGAGCCAACGAGATACACCCTCCGTGTATCTGGTGACCCGACGGCCAGCTCTCGTGAACTGGCAGGAGTAGGCATAGCACTAAGCATGAGGGCGGAACAAGCACTGCTAGAGTGGATCCCCGTCAACAGTCGTTTATGTGCTGTTCGGCTAAACGGCTCCGTAAGAACTCGGAAGGATAGGGACACACGTCGTTGCTTTTTCGTCGTTTCTGCCTTCGCTCCCACTGACTGCAGCTCAGATGATGTGAAAGATGAATTTTACAGAAAACTATCTGAACATCTTCAGAAAGCTAAACGCTCAGACATAGTACTTGTAGCAGGTGACTTTAATGCTCAGATAGGTAGCTTAAACCAAACAGAAAGGCATTTAGGTGGATATTTTAGCATTCCGGCACAGCGAACAGATGATGGTGATCGTCTGCTGTAACTGTGCTCAGACAATCGTTTATTTTTAGCAAACACAAATTTTAAGCATAAGGAGAGACATCGTCTAACATGGCGACCACCTACACCAAACCAACGATGGACTCAAATAGACCATATTGCCATCAGTCATCGTTGGAGAGGGTCGGTAGAAGATCCATGAGAACTGAATTGAGTAGCGAGGAAACGAAAAGTAGGTTCCAGGAACAACTGAGTTCACAATTAGGTAGTTCTGAAGACGAGGCTGACCCAGATGTTGCTTGGAAAGCTATACAAACAGCAGTAACATCAGTGATTTAAACCACAGGGTTACAAAGAACCAGTGGATTTCTTCAAAGTCTATCACACTGATGGATTCTCGCAAACTCGTCCCATCAGGTTCCGAACATGATGAAGAGCGACAACAAATCAGATCTAGGTTAAGAAAAAGTCTAAGAAACGATCGTGAGCAGTGGTGGCCAACGAAA